GGAAGCCTGCAGAGGTGAGTTTTGATCAGGAGGCAGTGATACTGATAGTTCTGAGTGTAGGACTTAAAGTCCTGGCTTGAGAGTCTAGACATCTGCTGTTAGCAGTGGGGAGCCATTGCATCTTATATGGAGCAAGGAGGTGACTTGATAAGATACATTTTTGGAAGATTAATGTGATGGTGCATACTTACAGTGGCTTAGAGAGGAGATGCCACGTTAGAAGCTACTGTGATCATCCAGGTAGATGGAGGGACCAAGAAAGAGTCTGCAAGATGTAGGTTTTGGTTGTAAAAAGACATAAGATGACTCTAGGTTTCACACCTGCATGATAAAATGACTGGTCATACTTTTTTTTTTTTTTTTTAAGATATGAGGAAGTCATACTTCCTTGGGGTAACGTTAACATTTGTTTTAGTAACTTAGTAAACTTATGGAGACACCAGACCTAATAGGAGACTTTCAGCAAGTGTATTTTGGACAGGGGGATTTCCTGGCACTTCTTAAATTCAGGGCATCCACTTCCTTCTGTGTGTTCATTGACATCTGGCTTTCCTCTGTACCCAAAAGTCCCCTTAAAGTTTCTACTTCTGTTTATTAGTCCTTTCCCATCTTTTTATGGATCTTCATCTTATCTCAGATGACGATTTTTGTGTAAGTAGAATTAACTGCCCTGTCCTTAACTGGGCTGGATTGGTACTTGATCTTCACTAAAATTCATGAAAATATACACATATTTCTATAAAATATCATCAGATATATGTAAGATTCTCATTTTCTTACACAGTATTGAACTCAATTCGTTACTTATAAATTGGCTAATTGTCTTAGAGAGGAAGTGGGCACATTTCTTGCCAGTTTTATGATGCTTAAAGTAGATGTATAACCAATAGTTGTTAGATACAGCTGTGGTACGTCCCACGGGCAGTAAGAAAATGTGAAAGATTTACAGAAGAAAAGATCTGAGGTGTAGAAACGGATCTAGGCGTTGAAGAAAGTTTTGCACACTTTTAGATGAGTTGGATACGCACTTCTACGTTTGTCATCTGGCAACTGTTGTATAATGAGACAGCCAGAAAGAAATTCTATATAGTCAAGGGAGTTCTAGCAACTTAGAAGATAATGCTAAGCTGGGCATGGTGGCTCATGCCTATAATCCCAGCACTTTGGGAGGCTGAGGCAGGTAATTCATGAGATTCAGGAGATTGAGACCATCCTGGCCAACATGGTGAAACCCTATCTCTACTAAAATACAAAAAATTAGCCCAGCATGGTGGTGCATGCCTGTAGTCCCAGGTACTCAGGAGGCTGAGACAAGGGAATCACTTGAACCCAGGAGACAGAGATTGCAGTGAGCTGAGATCGTACCTCTGCACTCCAGCCTGATAACAGAGCAAGACTTCATCTCAAAAAAAAAAAAGATAATACTAACACCGTTTGATGTTTTCCCTCAAGTTACTTTTCATATGCTGTTTTTTTTTCTTTTTTATGAACCCTGCATGTGGCATTCAATCATACTCTGTTTGACCTTAACAATGACCTGATAAAGAATTCCATTTCACAGATGAAAATAAGATCGTTTAGGATCGGGTATGCCTTTGTAGCAAAACAAAAACAACAACAAAACAAAAAATGATAGTTTAGGAGTCAGTTTCTCTGTTTGTCGAACGAGAGGCCTGAATGGATGCTTTCTTAAAAGTCTTCCAGCTCCTAAAAGGACTGTGGCCCAAGGTCACATAGCAGGCCGAGGCTGAGGCTTGATCAGACCTCCCAACTCCTGGTCAGTGATTCTTCTCATCATCTCACATGTCCTTTGGGGCGCCTTGGCTTCCTGGAGTTGGAAACCCACAGCCGATGGCCATGTGCTCTATTACAGCTAGCATTTGTTAAGCTCTTACTCTGTGTAGACACTGCATGTTAATTCCTATATTGATGATTATCTGTATTGACTCATTTAATTTTATTACAGTCTGATAAAGTACTATTTGTGTCCTTATTGTAGAGAGGAGGAAACCTAGACCCAAGGTGATTTAAGTAACTTGCCCAATGTCAAAGGGCTCTTAGTCACAAAGCTGGGATATGAACCCAGGCAGTTGGGCTTCTGAGTCCATGCTAAGCACCATCTTATTCCTCTTTGGAGGTAGCTGGTAGAATAATTTACATTTTGTTTGAAGACTGTCTCTGAATCTATCCTTCTATACATGCGTCTCCCCATCTGTCCAATACTGCTTGTGAGGATCCATCTGTATGCCTTGTACTAGGTCAGGTGCTGTGGTTAAAAGGTGAGTCATACCCAGTCTTTACCCTCCAAAGATGTGTCATCTCTGGGCCTGATGATGCACCTCTGCTTAGTTCAGACAGTGCTGGATGAAAGACTAGACATTGATGGAGATAGATCAATACATTAGAATCTGTAACAGATCGAACAGGCTGCACACATCAGAAGCACCTGGGTGGTGGGGCTCGGGAATCTGTGTTTTTAACGAGCACCCTTGGTGATTCTTAGGCACATTAAAATTTGAGAAATGCTTTGAAGGACCATTTCTAAGGAAGTAGAAAGCTTGTGAGAAGTGCCCAGCCTAGTTACAGAGGCAGGGATAAGTCTATGAAATACTGAGAACAGGCATTTTTGAACTATTGGGATGCATGGAGTTCTTTGGAAGTCCCCCTGGGGCTGCTGTGGAGTGGGGTGGGCAAAAGGGACCAGAGGAAGTTAGGGGAGCAGTGCTCTAGGATTTCAATTTTGAGTCAACTAGAGCAGCTTGCAACTGAAGATTTAATTCGGAGAAATTCCTCTGCTTAAAAGATGATTTAACGTCTTTTTAAGTTAAATAAAACCTTAAGGAAGTATGTAAAGAGTTACGTGAGCTAGATTAAACTTAAAAGCTGAGGAAGCCCCAGGAAGAAAGGGAAGTCAGTGTATGACTCTGGTCTCTACCAAGGCAGTCTGGGCACAGTATTTATCTGAGCGAGAAGGAATTCAGGAAGAGAAGATGGGGGAATGATTAAACACTTTTATTTTTCAGATTATAATTGGAGCATAAGCATTCATTTGTTTTAGAAAACATCACTTTAAATGACAACATAGTATTTCGTTATCTTGGTGAACCTTAATTTACTTAAATGCTCTTTTTAGTTGACGTTTATAATAATCAATACTTTATTATCCCAGTGCTACCATGACTATTGTTGTATATTATATATGTTTTTGCATATTTCCTCAAGCCTCTTATGATGAACTGCAAGAAGGCATATGCATTAACAAATAAGTGACTAATAGGACGAAGTAATCAGCCTTGAGGCTTTTAAAGGGCAACAGTGGCAGAATGTGACATGTTGGCCTCTTAACTCATCCTTGTAGGTCCAGGCTGCCTTAGCCAATAGGAGGCACTTCCTAGAGGAAGGCTGGGAGCAAGGCCTCTGAACTGGCAGGTCTGTGACACGTGCTGCACCCCACTCTGCCTGTTAGCAGGGCCAGCCCAACCAATAGGCAGGGCCCAGCAAGGCTCTGTGTAGCTCCGCCAGAACCTGTCACAAAATGCTTTGAGTCAGATGTGTTATAGAATTAAAATTATTATTTTATATTTAGGAAAGGCAATACAAGGTATTTCCTCTGCATATTAAGCACCCCACTTAATTATGGAGAGCACCCTGTGGGTCAAGCATAGGAACAAATATTTATTTCATTTCTGTATATTTAGAGACAAAATTTTAGTCTGATATAATCATAGCTCACTGTGTGCAGTGAGCTAGAGTGCAGTGGCACAATCATAACTCATTGCAACTTCAAGCTATTTGGTTTAAGTAGTCCCAAGTAGCTGAGACTACAGGCAGGAGCCATCATCCCTGGCTAATCTTTGAACTTTTTGTAAAGGAAGGGTCTTGCTATGTTGCCCAGGCTGGTCTTGAACTCCTGGTCTCGAACTCCTCAAGCCATCCTCCTGCCTCAGCCTCCCAAAGTGCTGGGATTATAGCCATGAGCCACTGTGTCCTGCCAAGCTCAGGAATATTTTTGTGGTGAAACGATAATGAATATTTGAAGTAAGTGAGAAAGTAAAGACTATAAGTCATTGTGTTAATTCAGGTCAGGTCAGGATTAATGATCTTGCTACCAGCTTCTGAAGACTCTTTTGGCTTAAGAGCTTTTTAGATTTCAGAATTGAGGATAAGGGATCTGGGGCCTGTATTGGTCAGTTTTCACACTGCTATAAAGAACTGCCTGAGACTGGGTAATTTATAAAGAAAAGAGGTTTAATTAACTCACAGTTCCACAGGCTGGGGAGGCCTCAGGAAACTTACAATCATGATGGAAGGCAGAGAAGCAAGCCCTTTTTTTCACAAAGCGGCAGGAGAGAGAAAGAACTGCCACACACTTTTAAACCAACAGATGTCATGAGAACTCACTCACTATCACCTGAATAGCATTGGGAAACCGCCCCCATGGTACAATCACCTCCCACCAGGTCCCTCCCTTCGCACATGGCGATTGTAATTCAAGATGAGATTTGGGTGGGGACACAGAGCCAAACCATATCAGAGTCTGAATTCATTCTGTTAAATTTGGACAGGTAGATCCAACCTAGCAAAAGAAAGAATTCTCATCCCTTGATGCTCAAGGAGTTTGCTCATCGTTTCAAGCTCGTAAGGAAGTTGGGAGCTCTTCATACATTTGCAGATGATGTGTCTAAATATTACTATTTTCTGTACTAAACATTATACTTTTTTTTTCCAGAGCATCTTCCGTCTCCTAGACTAACTTGTGCGTTGACTAATGGAAGCATTGAAGTCCTTTGCAGGATATTGGAGCATTATAAGAGCCATCGAGAACTTACAGAGTACTCATGGGATTGTCCTATGGAGCAATGCAAACATAACTCAACCAAAATGTATTTTAAGCTGGACGATGAACTTCCACAGACAATACAGTGTACAGCTAGCAATCCATTAGTTAATAAAACATCATCAATCGTTTTGGAAACCTGTGTCCCAAACAGTGGTGAGTAAGTAACTAAATGTGTCATGGAGGCTTTCCAGCCACAGATGTGGTAACTAACATAAGGTTCACAGTTTTAAAATGTAAAATGAGTTACAATTTTTAACAGAAACCCCATTATACATATAAAGCTAACATTATTTAGCACTTTCTGTATTGAGCAAAATTCTAATACATGCGTTAATTAATTCAATCTTATATCAATCCTCATACAGCCTATAAGTTGTATACTAGTATTTATCCCTATTTCCTAGTGAGAACCAGAGTTTAAGTTGTTTGCCCAAGGTCAACAGCTAGTAAGTGGTAGAACCTGTTTTGAATAGAGGCTATTCAACCCATGGTGTTAACCATTCACAATGCTGTTTTTAATATTCTTAATAATCATTATGTTCTCAAAGGTTGCATGTCTGCTACAGGAGCATGCATTTCATATGTTTCCTTAGGCCTAACACTCAGTTACTCTGTCTTGGCTGTGATTTTCTAATGTCATTTTACTATTATTTCCATTTGCAATTTTTGTTACCTGTTTTTTTACATTATATCCCCAGTTTAACAAAAAGATCAGTAACTTGAAAGTAGTTTACTGAAATATAAAAGAAGAGATGGAAATAGTAAATACTATTATTCAGAATAATATAATTGTAAATAGTGAACAGGATTCCAGGGCAAATAGAGAATATGAGTCTCTTGGGCTGGGATAAGGTAAGTCTATGAATGAAATTTCTCTGAACAAGCAGCTGAAACAGATAAGGGAAATCAATAAATACAAGAAATATAAGAAACTTGGATTTTAACTGGCAAGCCATTCTAAGTCTCCCATTTATTGTCTTTTCTGAACCATTTCAAACAGTAATTTAAAGCCCTTCAAGTTATATTATTTTCGGACAAAGCAGAGTAAATTCCTGGGAAAAGAAACACATTTTTCAAGAAAAAGTACGTCGTCCTCGTCAAGGCGGGCAGCGGCAGGCCAGGGGCCTGGAGCCTGGAGGCCCGGCCTGGGATGCTGCCGGGCGGCCTCTCCCAGCGCCCCCGCGCCCCGCCCGGCCCCTGGCCACCCCGAAGTTCAGGGTGGTTTCTTCTGCGCCGCAGGCCGCTTCCTGAGCTGCAGCCCAGCAGAAGGAGAAGGTGGGTAGGGGTCTTGGCTGCTCAATCCTGCGAGCCCAGCCTGCCCAGCGTGCCAGGGCGTGGTGGTTACGCGGCCCGGCATGCCCGGAGCGGTCAGGCTTCCCGTTTTTAAGGTGGAGATGTCCAGGACCTCTTTATTAGATGTTCAGGAATTTGAGTTTTTACATCGGGCCACAGTCACCATGAGCCCCTGTGGGGCGGGCTGGGCTAACTGGGGTTTTGATTTTCAGTTTCGTATGGCAGGGGGCATGTCTGAAGGGGAAGAACGTTCTTGGTGTTGCTTCTTAGTTGTTGGGAGCTGTGAGGTTAGAGAGAGATGGGCGATGCTGCTGCCGAGGATTGGCCTGAGTGAGCTTAGACTAGTTACTCACGGGACTTGGTTTACCAGCCAAGGAGATAAAAACATTCAGATGGTGGATAACAGTTTTTCAGATGCTTTTCCTTCAGGTTCCATGGAGGCTGCTAAAAATGCAAGTAATACAGAAAAGCTCACAGATCATATGATGCAGAATCCTTGAGTTTGGGCAGCTTTATAGGAGCGACTAGACAATGTCCCTTACACCCCTTCCGGCTACATCGAAACTTTACCTAAAGCAGTAAAAAAAGAATCAGTGCATTGAAACAACTTCAGGTGAGATGTGCCCTTACGGAAGCCAAGTTCTGTGAAGAAGTTTGTGACTCGGAAAGAAAGTGTGCAGCATTACACCAGCCTCTCTTTGACAAGGGAAGAGAATTTATCACCCGTGATGTTGAACCCCGACGGATGCGGAATCAGAATGGCACAGTGAAAATGAAGAGGAAGAGGAGTTGGTAGGAGACATGAGAAAAAAGCAGTCTAGCAGAAGCAGCGTCAGTAACAGCCGAAGAGCCAAATCCCAAAGGCGTCTGGAGTTCTGGTTTACCATCGATAGACATGTAGCTATGCTAAGTGAATTAGTACGGGAATATGATGAACTAATCTTCAAACACCCGCAGGATATTAGAGTGAAGGTTTGTGACCCTGGACAGCCTGTCTTGTGTGAGAGTTCCACTTTGAACCCAGTGACTACTTCACCAAGTCAGTCCTGACAGAAAGCTACAAGATGAAATCAGAACCAGATAAAGGCGATTGCTTTTCCTTCTGGTGTCCTGTGATATTGCTGGAAGAAAGGAAAGCATGTTACTGGCAAAACTATCAGGAAAAAACGCAAACATAAGGGTCGAGACCCTGCTAGAACAATTACAAAACAAGTACCCAGTGAATCATTTTTCACCTTCTTCAATCCGCTGGAAGCATCCGGGGATGGAGAATCACTGGATGAAGGTTCTGGATTCACATCAGCCTCTGATTTTGAAATTGGACACTTTTTCTGTAAGCCAATGGATAGTCCCATGGGCTGTGCTGTACTTCGCTGGGGACGCCATAGAGGATGATGACAGTTTTGAGGAAGGTGAAAAGAAGAGGAGGAATTACAAGGTGACAAGCGGGGAGCAGATGAGGATGATGAGGGAATTAACCCCAAGAAGGGACCCAGCTAGCCAGCGGAACGCAAGCAGCAGTAGGAAGCAAAGGCAGGCGCCTGGGCTACCCGCTGTCGCTGTCGGGACTCCAGGCCTGTGTGCGGGGCCTCGATCTTTGCCGCACCGACAGCTCTTCCATCTAACAAGTTTTCAAGTGCAAGATTTTCACTTTCACTTTTTCTTTTTCCTTATTATTTTGCTTAACTTGTACAGTGACCACTGAAATACGTTTCAGAAGTGGGAGGTTTTATCCAGCACCCTCTGCAGCCTTGGTGCCAGTAGCTCTGGACTTGCCTGGTCCTTTCGCCATGGGAAGGCCCCATAGACCACATTGGGGTGGGGTAGGGGTCACTTGGCAAAAAGGACCGAAGTCTGGTGATGTGGTTCCAGGAACCTAGAACCTACCACTCCTGCATTTGGACTGATTTCTTCCCTTTCATTTGAAGAAACCGAGTCATCTGTTTCCAGCCTGCCAAGTGCAGCCTGTGTCACCTGTTGGATGCTAATCATCTCGGAAGGGCTGTGCGGAGTAGGGCCGTGTTCTCCTTAGGACGGTGCTTCTTGATTTTCTTCTTTTTAGGGGTGTGTTAGGGTTGTGGCACACCAGCTCAGGCGAGAGCTGCCGCGGGTCACCTCCTATTTATTTCGCCCTTCTCGCCTGTGAGGACTGCGGTCTTTCACTGTTGCTGGTCTTTACCATTTCTGAACCACCTTGGTGACCTGAGCAGGAAGATGTGCCGCTTCCTAGCAGGAGCAAGGCTTGTGCGGACAAAGCGCTGCTCCCTGCCACCCGCTGAAAACACCAGGAGCCTGTCCTGGCGACTCAGGCGCCACCCTGCTGCCGAGCCGGGATCGGGCGGTCTTCAACAGTGAAGGGCTGGGCTGGCAAGTCCTGCATTTCAGTTGAGCATATAAGCGTCAAATCCTGCTCCCTCGGTAGTTCCGTTGCTGGGTCCCACCATTCATCCTGTCTGAAGGGTTTGGTGTGACCAATTGGCGGCTGGCGGGTGGGGTTTCTGAGTGGGTGGCGGCGATCTCTGGCAGCCAGGGATGGCGGTGTCACACTGACCAGGCCTGTGGAGCGTGCTCAGCTTAACCTTGGAACACATTTGTGACTGCATCCAGTGTTTTCAATTTGTACAGAATAGTTAGAATATGCTATTAAAGTTGGGAAACGTGGAGAAAAAAAAGAAAAAGTGCAAATGAGTTCCAACTTATAACTGATGTATTTGATTCCTGAAGACAGAGAAAAGATCAAACCCACAGAGGTGTCACTCAAAGGAGCACTGTTTGTACAAGTCACACAATTGCAAGACGTTTTTAAACCTAGCTGCGAAGTTATAATAGTTAAGCGTGGAGCAAACATTCCTTTATTAATTCCACCTTTTTAGTGTTACATAATACCCAAGGCACATGATATGGAAATGTAATTTATTGTAAAAGCAGATAGTTGCTTTGGGAACAACAAAAAATAAAACCAGTGTGCTTTTGCCTTTTGGTATATGTGTGCTAGATCTAACTGACAAGGAGAAAGAAGATGACCACATACAGACAGAGCAAGCAGGTGGCAATCTTGAAAAGTTTTAAGTGTTCCAATAGAAAAAGTACTCGAGAATTAATTTCTGGATAAGATTCCTTTATAGAATTACATGGACTACTGGAGGGGATTTTCAAATCCCTAAACAGTGTTTTGCACAATTTTCTCTTTATGTTTGCCATTGCAATTGAAGACACGAGCAAGATTACTTTCCCTGTGGAGAGTCTGGTGAAAGAGCATCATCATAATGTTCCTCGCATTGATTTGAAATAAGTATCATTAATTTGAAAACATTCTTTTAATTATTAAACAACAGGGATTCATCCTTCTTTTACATGTTCTTCCAAATTGATAGTTCACATATATACAATAGATTTTGGAAGTTTGAGGAATGTTGCTGGATAGTTCTTAGGTGTTTAAATCTTGGAGTAGTGTTGACATCTGAGACATACATGTGGGCTTCTGACCCTGGTTTCTGTTGACCGAATGTTGGAGGAGCTTCTCCTTTTAAAATGCAAACCAGGAGCTGAACTTAATGATCTTACGGGTTCTTTTGAACGATAACAGTCTGGGATTTTTTCTTCTTCTGTGATGATTTTTGAATGCATTTGTGTGGAAACACATGCATCATAGCAAACGCAACCCATGAGAGTACGACAGTTAAATAGTGGATCTTACTTTTTCAGATTTTGATTTCTCATCCAAACTTTCTGATGCTTTGTTAGTGAAGCAAAGTAACTTACATTGACCAGCCTGCTGTCCTTTAGCAAACCCTTGCAAATAAATGCCTCATTTGCTCCTCCCCACTACCATTTTAGATGGGCCAGACAGTTTACCTTTTAAGAATGACGAGACAGGTTCAACCAGGTGGGGTAACTTGCCCAAGGTCACTTAAGTATTGGAGATAGAATTAAAATTTAGGTCTTTGAATTCTAGAGTGTTTTTATATGATATTGTCCTGACTCTCTATATATCTCAAATCAAATTTTAAAGTTTTCTTTGATTTATTCACAGGAGTCAGCTAGAGAAACCCATACCAGGTAGATATACATAGATATTGGTCAGATGTAACTTAACTTTTTACTGCATTATCTCGTGCTTCTTGTAACATTTTTTCTAGTGGGAGCTTTTTGCGGTTGGTGGTCATTTTAGTCACGACATCTACTGTCATACCATCACCTCAACCCAGAAATGCGGTGGTGGCGTTATTAACTAGTTAAACATAATCTAAAGAAGAATTTTAGAGACAGTTAAGATTGAAGACAGAGTTCTTGTCCACCTTATGTTGTATTGGGGGAATGAACTAATACTTACTGAAGGCCTACTCCACAGCAAACTCCTGTAAATGATTTACATAAATGCATCACGTTTATTCCACACAACAGCCTAGTGGCCTGGGTACTATAACGGGGGAATCTGAGGCACAGTGAGGTTAAGTTACTTGACGGAGTATGCACATTTATTAAGAGCAAAGCCAGACTTTACATCCAGCTCCATCCGGACTCAAAGTACCGTGTCTTCCCCACTGTACTGGTGAAGTGAAAGTCAGAAGATGACTCAGAGATGTGCAGTTATGATCTGGAACTTGGAATTTACTTCCTTTGACCATTTGGAAAGTGCAGCTCAAGGCGTTGGGAGATGGAAAGAGAGCTACTGAGCAATTATTTCTCGCCTTTGTGCCACGCTCCCACAGTTTGCTCCTCCTTATCTCCCTATCTGCACTCAGAGTAAATGGCATGTGGGTTTTATGCCTGTGCTACAGATGTTCACAGACCTCAAGGTCAGAAAGCTGGTTTATGGCAGCACCTGAATATAGACGGACTTACGCAGATCAGAAAATGGAGAAGCTGAGGGCAGGAGAAAATTCTGGATAGAAGACAACATGGGATTGGGAGTGAGAAAACCTGGGCCCCAGGCCTGATTTCATTGCCTACTGGCAGTGTGAATGTGGGAGACAACATGGTATGAAACATCTGTGAGCTTCAGCTCCCTTATCCATATAATGAGGATAATAATACTTACTTTATAAAGGCTGAGGAAATTAAATAAAATAACATGTAGGAAAGAGTATTGATGATGGTTAGTCACTGTAAAATTGTTAGTTGTTATTCAGGATACAGGAAGAGTTTCAAGAGAGGATGCTTTGTATAACATTATATACAACCAATGGTTTAAGGAGGACAATGTAGAAGAGATTGTACATTTGGCACTTAGGAGGTTGTTTTTGACAATCCTTGTGAGAAGATGACGGTAGGAACTAGATTTCTGGGCTTGAAGTAAGAAGAGGGGTAGTCAAATAGGCCAGTTATGTATTTGGCTGTGAAGAGAAGAAAAGAAAATCTAAGTATGCTTGAGAGTCAAAGGCTATTTCCAGGTAAAGAAACCCAAGGACTTCACCATTCTTTCATAGATAAGAAGTGGGATTCTTATCTCTCATAGATACGAAGTAGGATGGGAAGAAGTGGGATGATTGTAGGACCCCCCACATTGACACAGAATTCTAAAGGAGAGCCCAGGAAAAGAGCACATTTTTTGAAGGGGTAGGCAAGAGGATATTCTCTAGGGTACCAATTTCCAACTGTTGTCCACATTTATGGACCAAGAACATAAAAGAAACATTGTTCAGCTCCGACCTGAAGTCACGCAGAACAAACATCATTCTGAGTTCAGCTAGGTAATCTTCCTTTCATAGCTGAGGTGGATATTACGTTACCTGCAGGGAGTAAGTCACTGAAGGGCCCTGAAGGTAGAGCCTCAGAAAAACACCCTTTGATCTTACCCCAAGATAAATGAGAGCAACTGGAAAAATTCATTATAAAAACACAATAATGTGAGGAAGTAGGAAAAAGGAGAAGAAGGAAAGAAATTCAACATAAGAAATAACATGATGTAGACTGAGATGAAGAATGTTAAGAATATTTGAAGAACCAGAGGAAATGTAACAGGTAGAAACAGAAGTAGGAGAATTTTTGGACTGATTTAAGTTGATCTCTTGTGACTTTTATAGATTTCCACTGGGAAGAATAGTGATTAAGAATGTGCCCACTCCTTTTAAAAATTGAGAAAGAAGGCTACATGCAGTGGCTTACGCCTATAATCCCAACACTTTGTGAGGCCAAGGCAGGAGGATTGCTTGAGGCCGAGAGTTCAAGACCAGCCTGGGCAACATAGGGAGACCCTATCTCTACTAAAAATTAAAAGATTACCCAGGTGTTGTGGCATGTGCCTGTGGTCCTAGCTACTTGGGAGACTGTGGTGGGGGGATCACTTGAGCCTGGGCGTTTAAATAAATCAAGTCAATAATTGATAATCATCTAAAACAGAAAGCACCAGGTTCAGATGGGTTCACTGGTGAATTCTACCAGACATTTAAGGCAGCAATTATATAATTCTCTGTAATCTCTTTTAGAAGATAGAATAAATTGTATCAATTCTCTATAATCTCTTTTAGAAGATGGAAGCAGAGGGCATACTTTCTAACTCATTTTATGAGGCCAGCATTATTCTTGTGCTAAAACCAAAGAATAACACAAGAAAAGAAAACTAAAGACAAATTTTTCTCATGAACACACATGTAGAAATCTTCAACAAAATATTAGCAAATTGGATCCAACAGCATATAGAAAGTATTATGCATTGTGACTAAGTGGGATTTATTTCAGGTGTGCAAGGCAGGTTCCGAATATGAAAATCAATGTAATCTATCACATTGACAAACTATGAAAGAAAAATCACATGATCACACCAATAGATACAGAAAAAGCATTTGACAAAATCCATTATCAATTTATGCTAAAAACTTTCATAAACTAGAAATAGAGGGGAACTTTTTAAACTTGTTAGCAAATGCCTACAAAAAAACCCTACAGCTAACTAACATCATCTATAATGGTGAGAAACTTGAAGCTTTCCCACTAAGACCAGGAACAAGGAAAGAATGTTCCTCTTACCACTCCTTTTCAACATTGTACTATAAGCACTAGCTAATGCCGTAAGTCAAGAAAAGGAAATAAAAGTTAATACAGAATGAAAAGAAAAAAAATTACTTTAGTTCTCAGATGACATGAATATCTATGTATACTGTCCAAAAGAATTGACAAAAAACCTCCTGGAACTAATAAAAAAACTACAGCAAGTTTGCAGGGTACAAAGTTAATATACAAAAGTTAATCACTTTTCTATATATCAGCAATGAACAAGTGGAATTTGAACTTTAAAACATATCATTTACATTAGCACCCCAAAAATGCAATACTTAGGTACAAGTCTAACAAAATATGTACCAGATTTATATGAGAAAATCAATAAAACTGATTAACAAAATCAAAGATGAACTAAATAAATGGAGAGATATTCTATGTTTATAGATAGGAAGACTCCATATTGTGAAGATGTCAGTTATTTCCAACTTTATCTATAAATTCAGTGCATTCCCAAGCAAAATATCAGAAGTCATTTGTGGATATCAGCAAACTGATTTCAAAGTTAAATGAGCAGGCAAAAGACCAGAATGGCCAGCAAAATACTGAAGGAGAACAAAATTGGAGGACTGATACTACTCAACTTCAAGACCTACTATAAAGCTACAGTAATCAACATACTGTGGTATTGGTGGAAAAATAAAAGACAAATAGATCAG